CTCTTTTCATTCAATATTTATTTTTTGATGAATTTGTTTTGTTTATTTTGTTTCTTTTAATGAATTAAATTAAATAAAAAATAATAATGGCTTTAAACATCTGCTAAGTTCATGGCATAAACCAACAGACATGCTCCTGTTTTTATTTTTTTTACATCGCCTTATAATGTAGCTGTTATTGTTGAGTTTATATATATATATATATATATATATATATATATATATTATTTTCTTGAAATTTTCAATTCATGTTTTTTATGATTGTCTACTGTTGTACTGATAAATATCTCCTTGAGGGTAAACTATATCTTGGCTGCGAGCTCTGTGGCTTCAGTGATGTCTTCTTCTTGTTCAGTCTGAAGCAGGTAGTCTTATTTCGGTCAGCCGCGCTCAGCCCTTCTCCAAGACGGAAAGACTGATCGGGGCAGATTGGGCACGGCTGGCTTGGGTTGGGCTGCCTTCTTCAGTTGAGCAAGAGTAGCGTCCCGCTGAAACCACGGAGCTCGAATGTGCAATTTAAAATTAGCTTTACTGCGGTTTAATGTGGTGCTATGGCTCTGCAGACATTGCACGTTGCTGTCTTGTTTTGTGGTGTTTCTAGTGTAAAATACTTCCACACCGTGGACATGTTTAGGTTTAGTTGGTTAGCTGTTAGCCTCAGTGCTGCTCACTCAGTCCTTACATTGTAGCTGGCTGCAAACTATGAAATGGATTTCCTGAATGTGAGGTGGGTCTTATTACTCTGGGTTCATAAGACACGCCTCCATTCAGGAAATCCATTCCATAGTTTGAAGCCAACGTGCAGAGCAGCTGGCAGGGAATCACATGAGAAATTTCATCAGACACAAACATGCATCATGGATCGGAAATCTCTGCAGGTTGGATCGGAAAAGTCAGACACTTAAATTATGCTGGTATCAGGGGCTGATACCAATACCGGATCGGATCGGCCCCATCCCTATGATTCACACTATGTGTACTTTAGTTGAATGAACCCTAGCATAACATATAAAGTCACATTTTACTAATTTATTGAGCAATTGTTTCATTTAAACAGTGACATTACTGTCATGTAATAAATTGCTTAAACAAAAAATGCACCAAACAAGAGAACTTTCCTTAATCAACAAATGTGCATAAAGTCATTACCTTCACATACTGGACCTGAGTTTTGGAAAGAGTGCTTCTTGAGACCACTCATCCCTGACTCGCTGGTGTGCTTGACTAAAACTAAACATGTTGCAGCATACAGCGTGTTAACACCATCACACTCAATTCTCATGAAGTTCAGGATTATTTGTGACTTTCCTGACAGTTCTGTGATTTTAATAGATAGATCATTACTTCTGACTTTGCATTGCAAATCTATTTTTACAACATCCATTTCTCCACTAGTGTTTGCTCCCTCCTTTGCTTTTTTTTTTTTGGGCAGAAAGCTGCAGCCGGAAGCACTGTTGGCTTCTGGGTAGTGTAGTTCTTTTGACTTGTGTTACAGTGTAGGCTGATTGAAAGGAAACTATAAAATGGCGGTGTCTGTACAAAGTTTTTGATTTGTTTCGTTTTAGTTTTTTGTTCTATTGGTTGGTTCCCGCTCCAGTCCGCTCCCGTTAACTTTTTAATCCGTACCGTCCCAATCACGTGAGTAATATTAAAGTTGACTCCTATCCTGCGGGAATCACGTGACTTGTAGTATTCCCGAAAAGATGCCAGCCTCTACTTTGCAGCCACTGCACAAAGTTTTAGCCCAACAGCTGTAAAATTAACTAGCTAAATCCATTTTTGTGTTTGCTAAGATCACTTAAATATGGTGGCTATCTTGAATTGGGTTGATTCTGAACATTAATTTGTTGCAGTTGTACATCCAATAATTAATTTCTGAAAGTTTCTCTAAAATCTATCCAGTGGTTTGTGAGATATTTTGCTAAAATTGCAAACATGCATACGACAAAAACATTACCACCCTTTCACCCTGACGGCAGGCAATACGTTATTTTTATTTACAGTGTGTTGGCTGTAGTGGTCGTAGCTCAATGAATTAAGCTGTTAAAGTCTGACAGGTGCAGCTGAAGCCTCTGTTGTCTGATGTTATGTACCGTATTTTCCGCCGTACACGTCACACCACCCTATAAGTCGCATCAGTCCAAATATGTCAAATAAAGTGGAAAAATTCATAAATACGTTGCTTCGCCATATATGTTGCATCTAATATGCGTCACCGCTGACGTGTTACATTTGTTTCGTCAGCGCTGACAAACCGGAAATGTGGGCAGGTGTTGTGCCAAAAATCAATTGGCTGCCAAATGACGGCCGTGGGAGCGTGCACGGGAGAACTTTACCAAGAAATTACCAATTTAAAAACAATTATTTGTTTGTTGGAAATTATAGTGAAGGTGTGTCTCTAACTTTGCTTAATAAATGCACTTTGACGGTCAAATCTTCTGTATTTCAAAACCTGATACGTGGATATAGGGGCATGCATGGGAGGACTCACTGTGCATTTCTTCAAAATTTAACAAGATAACCACCTAGAAACAATTATTTGTTTGCTCGACTTTATAGTAAAGGTGTGTCTCAGTTGAACTTTTACTTAATAAATGCAGTTCATTGGTCATATTAGCCGCATTGCGCCAGGGCGGCGCAGCAAAATGAAACTGATTTGACAGTTGCTCCAGGCAAGCTGGACGAAGGTGGAATGCTGTGGCAAGCAGATTATGTCATTAATAGCCACTTTTACCTATTACATGACACAACGGCATGCCATACCACTCGAGTGCCATCTAGCGGCTGAAAATTATAGTGTTCAATATTTTCAGTCTAAATGAATGAAAACGGTCATATCTCAGTCAAAATTTGGTTTATAAATATGGGGGGGGAAAAAAATCTATAAATACGTCACTTCGACGTATATGTCGCAGGGCTTGTAAATTATGCAAAAAATTGTGACTTATAGGCCGAAAAATATGGTAATATTTTACTATGTAACAATAAATTTAGCTTTGCTTGGCATAATGTGTTTAGATAAACTATATTTTACAACAGTGATATTTTTGTGGTTCTCTGGCCTCTTGTATAACAAACAGTAATGATGACGAGTCTGGTGAATTAGAAATAAAACCTTGTCATGCTGACTTCTCAATAAGCTCAAAAATGTAATAATTGTTTTTTCTGCTCATTTTGTTAGTCAGGTTCTGCAGACTGAACTACAGGAAGAGAGAGCCAAACTCTTCATGTGCAGTCATGTTGTTGTAGACATGCTGCCACTTCCCTTTTTTATGTGTGTTTGTGTCATCATTTCTTCCCCTATCTGTCCTCTCTTTACCTCGATTTATGTCTTTCTGCCTTTACCCACTGAGTTAAGCGCATTCCTGGGCCCCATCTGGTACCAGCATGGGATGTTTGGCTTGGCATAGCAAGGCTTGTTCCAGCACAGCACTTTCATGGAACAAGAGGAAGCATTTTGTGGTGGACAACGCCAGCAGTGATGATGAAGACTGTTGCTCTGTCCCCAGTCTCTGTCATTGCACTCCTAAATTACACAACAAGACGCAATTTAAATAATGAGGAATATATATTCATCCTACATAAATCCAGCTATCATTATTTAAATTGATTGGTGTAAAATTCAAAGTGAGTGTCATTGTCAGCCTCTTTATTTTGAGGAATTTATTGAAAAGTCAGTAGGTCATATTAGCAGGTCACATGCTAATATGTGCAAATAAGACTTGCATAAATGAGAGAACAGTATGTCCAATGTGGTGTCCTTACACTAGAGATTATAGGAGCTCAAAATATATCGTAATGCAGCTACAGACCTGTATCAGGGTGCATTTAAATCCATCGATTTTAATTTTATTTTATTGAATATAGTTAGCAAAAATGGCAAAATAGATGGGTAAAACATTTCTAAGATGTTTAACTGTTTACTTTAATGTAAACGTTTAATTTTAAAGTGGGGTTCTGTTGAAAAGTTGAGAACGATAATATCTTACCTGTTGTAGATATCTCTTTGAACTAACTCAGTTTGGATAAATGGTTTAATCCTGACAAACTGAAGAGCTAATGGCTAGTCTGAGACCAGAATAGATTGCCTTCATCTTAAAACAATGACGGTCTCTAAAATTTCAAAGCGGTTTGTGTGAACTTTATTTCATAAACGGTGGTCATGATCCTGCCATTATTTTTTCATTAAACAGAAATTTAAATGGAAATTTTGTTTATTTGCAAGGATAAATGACAGTAGCAACAGCTGTAGCTTTTCTGCTCCATCACCTCTGTGGAACGTCTAGCAGAAATTTCACATAAAATTGACATCAAAAGTTTAAACAACGTTTGCATGAACCACCGTACAATTGTAGAGATATTTTTAAATGGTGGCAATTTTTTAAGCTTGACTGCATTTAGACTTCCTTTAAATTGTAATATTCAAGCAGAATGTGTGTGTGTGTTTCCGCGCGTGTGTATATCTTTGCTTGTACATATTATACAGTTTAAAATGGTCTTTGGATTTGTATGCCCATTGAGTGTTATCACACTGTAGACAGGGTGATATTTTCCTGAACTTTAGTTGTTTAAATACATTTAAGATTTTGTTAAGTCTGGTCCTCTGGACATTCAAAAAACAAAACAATTATTATTATTATTTTTTTAAAGTAGAAACGTTTCGGCTTTCATTCGAAAGACTTCTTCAGTCTGAGGTGCTGTATTCAGCACCTCAGACTGAAGAAGTCTTTCAAATGAAAGATGAAATGCTTCTACTTTTTTTTTTTTTTTTAGTTTGTTTTGTTTTTTGAATGTCCAGAGGACAAGACTTAACTTTCTTAGATTTTTCTACCTGGATTATTGAGCATGCATCAGGATAAGATTTTCCTTATTTTTCTTAACCAGGGGATGATTAGAAAGTTGCATTGCTTCTACTTTTGATGTAAACTAACTTAAAGCAACCAAAATCTAATCGACTCGCTGACCTTTTTTCGGTTTTCCCTCTTTGCTTTCATCTTCAGACAGCACCCCGGCTCTTACAAGAAGACAAGTCAGAAGAGAAGAACGAGGAGGACAAATCAGAGAAGTGTGAGAAAAACGAGGACGAGGAAAAGAAAAAGGAGGAGGAAGAGAAAGATGAAAAGGAGGACTCCAGGTGAGTTTTGTTTGTGTTTGGCCTAGTGTCGCTCTGCAGGTCTCTCCATGTTGTTTGTGGTTCGTGTTTGTTCTAGTCACTGTCGTTTATTTAATTGCACATTATGCATGCTTTTATGATCCAGAATCTAAAAAAAACTGAACTTAAACTATTGATACAAATTATTTTATTCAAAGAAAATGGATGAACAAAGACAGCTTTAACTTTCCTTTGTCCATTTATTACAGACAGATCCTACAAATTATAGCAGAAATTTTATCTGCAGCCTTTACTGGTCCTAGTTGCCTAAACAATGACACCAGATCATTGTTGATGGTTTCACCACAGATCATCAAACCACCCGTGTTCATTTGTCACCTCCGATGGGAGTGAAGCTGGCAATGTTCAGCGTTGCTCCTCACAAAATGAATTTACTTAATTCATTTCAGCTCTGAATTTGATTCTCACAGAATCCTGCAATACAGAGTTTTCAACTTGGTTTCTTACCAAATCTGATGGTGAAGTTAGTTACATGGATTACTAGATAGTTTTGTTATGTTCTCATTAATTACTATTCTTTTCAAAGTCCAGTTTGTTATATTAGAGCAGTGATCTTCAGCTGACAGCCTGCAGAGTATTAAATTATTAATAAAATTTGTACAATTTTTACAGGAGTCAGTTGTAGTGTAGTGCTCAGAAATGTTTAATGATTAGCTTTTAACCAATCAAAACACTTGTGCACAGCATGAGATCAAGTCGACTCAAATGCTAAAACAGCAGAAAGAGGTCATACAGCTGAGCATGTTGTTGTGTCAGTGTCCTTCATTGTAAGTGAGACAACTTTTACACGAGTGAATCACTAAAAAATATTGAAATGCTGCACTTGTAGGTTCGAGTCTAAGTCCACATTAGGCTCTGGTCAAACCAGTTATCACCTATAGGTTTGAGCAGCTATAAGCTGTGATGCAACTGTTGTAAAGCTGGGATGTAACTGTTGTAAAGTTAGTTTCCTGTCAAGTTCTTTTGCATTTTGAGCAGAACATTGCAGATGTATTAACTATATAACTTGTTTAACATTTTATAGCTTCATGTTTGTTCCTAATGAAGCAGCTCTCAATCGTTAGTGCTTTTACTGCTTGTTTTTGCATTAATGTCATAAAACGTAAATCAGTTCTTAGTTGTTGTTGTTTTTTTTTTATTTCACTTACTGGTAGTAACGTTTATATTTAGCCTCTGAAAGTTTTAAACATTTTCTCTATATTTAACGTTTAGGTACAATGAATTACATGCAAAATCACAATCAGAATGTTTTAATAAAAAAAAAGTAAAACAATCTTTTTAATCTTTTATTAGTGCCGTCTCTTTACGACATCAGAAATAAACTAATCTTGGCATTTCCAGAAACATGTTTAATCAAAGGCTGATCCCGGCACTGCCTGCCAGCTTTTGTGTCTCTTGTGGAGAAGTGCTGATCACTTGTATTAATGATCTATAATTTAATTGCAAAAAATAATAATTTCTCAAATTTCACTCAAAGAGGCTTTAATAAAGAGCTCAGCAAACATGCCCCCAGATGACGTCACTGATGGTGCCAACCAAGTCAACAATTTTCTAACTTATGTATTTCCAGATTGAGCACAAACGATCGATAATAATGTTTTTCTTGTCTTGAGTATGTTGGAAAAAGAGCAGATTACAAGGACGGCCTCTTACTGCTCCATCGTCAGGGAATAGATATTTGCTGTAGCAGCAGCTAAAAGCTGTCTTTACCTCTGCCCAAACCACAGGGAGATTGGCAAGGAGAGAGACAAGTGTGACGGTGGGGAGGACGAGGACGGAAAAGAGCAAAACACGCCGCGTGGCAGGAAGACTGCCAACAGCCAGGGCCGTCGTAATCGAAGAGTCATCACACGCTCCATGGCCAATGAGACTGCCTCGGTTTCAACTGAGGACGCACCCCCATCCACCTCGGAGCCCAACCTGCCAGATACTCCATTGCTCCCTAAATCTGAGCAAGCCCAGAAGGCCATGAAGGAGCCTGCAAAACCTCTGACTCCAGTAGCTTCAGCTGATGCTAATAAAGGTAATTCCGCTCTGTTTGTTGAAAAATGTTCTTTTTTCCACACCTTAACTCGAGTGTGAATTTTAAAACACTAATCAAGCAGTCAATGAAAGCAGAAACATTTTTATTTATTTTTGTTAAGAGCTGAAAAAACAAAATGAGATGGGCACCTAAAGCAAGATTTAGGGAAATGCAGAATATATCTCTGCAATTAAATAATTTAGGTATGCTCTCTCTTTTTTTACCATAAAGTGTACTTCTAACCCAGACACTTTGCCAAGTATCTCAATAATCGTACTGCCTGAAAAAGCTGTTTTTCATCACCACAGCAGTTCACTTTTCTGATATGGATAGGTTTGTGAAGCCTTTATAATTTTATACATTTCAGCATAAATATGATTTAAAACATCATCAGATTTTCACACAAGTCCTAAAAGTAGATAAAGAGAACCTATGTAAACAAATGAAACAAAAATATTATACTTGTTCATTTATTTATTCACGAAAATGATCCAATATTAAATATTTGAGTGGTAAAAGTATGTGAACCTCTAGGATTATCAGTTAATTTGAAGGTGAAATTAAGAGTCAGGTGTTTTCAATCAATGTGATGATGATCAGGTGTGAGTGGACACCCTGTTTGATTTAAAGAACAGGATCTATCAATGTCTGCTCTTCACAACATGTTTGTGGAAGTGGATCATGGCAGGAACAAAGGAGATTTCTGAGGAGCTCAGAAAAAGAGTTGTTGATGTTCATCAGGCTGGAAAATGTTACAAAACATCTGTAAAGAGTTTGGACTCCACCAATCCACAGTCGCACAGGTTGTGCACAAATGGAGGAAATTCAAGAGCATTGTTACCCTCCCCAGGAGTAGTGGACCAACAAAGATCACTTCAAGAACAAGGTGTGGATTCCACACCTAGTCAGCGAGGTCACAAAGGAGCCCAGAGTAACTTCTAACAACTGAAGGTCTCTCTCACATTAATGTTGATGTTCATGAGTCCACCATCAGGAGAACACTGAACAACAATGGTGATCATGGCAGGGTTGAAGGAGAAACCACTGCTCTCTAAAAATAACATGACTGCTCATCTGCAGTTTGATCAAGATCAAGTGGACAAGCCAGAAGACTGTTGGAAGAATGCTTTGTGGACGGATGAGACCAAAATATAAATTTTTGGTTTAAATGAAAAGAGTTATGTTTGGAGAAAGGAAAACTCTGCATTCCTGCATAAGAACCTTATCCCATCTGTGAAACATGGTGGTGGTAGTATCATGGTTTGGGCCTGTTTTGCTGCATCTGGGCCAGGACAGGTTGCCATCATTGATGGAACAATGAATTCTGAATTATATCAGAGAATTCTAAAGAAAAATGTCAGAACATCTGTCCATGAACTGAATCTCCAGAGAAGGTGGGTCATGCAGCAGCACAATGACTCTAAACACACAAGATGTTCTGTCAAAGAATGGTTCAAGAAGAATAAAGTTCATGTTTTGGAATGACCAAGTCAAAGTCCTGACCTTAATCCAATCAGTCTTCATGATTTCGCGTGGCCGGGGTCTGGCAACGTCCATCTGTGAGTCCCCATCTCCAGCTTCGCAGTGACCAGCGGAGCTCTGAGCACACAAGGCTGGTATCCGAAAACCGAGCCTCCGAGTCGGCACATCGAAGGATCTTCCGCGGTGACCAGCAGAACTTGGAGCTGGGAGATGACACCCTGCCCGGCCTGGCGCTCCAAGGCTCCAGGGGGAGGATCGGGGTACACCAGCAGAGCTCCATCCAGCTTGCTCTGAATTATGTTGTCGGCCACCAAGCACAAAAAACGCCAGCACATCAGCATTAGACCAAGATGTTGTCAGTATTGTTTTTAAAATCTTTAAAATAAGTCCAGCCGCTGCTCCAGTCCGAGAAATTGCAAATGGCGGATCATTGTTTTGAAAAGTTTCTGAAGGATCCAGTGACTCCGCCCCCGACTCTGCCCCCAACCAATCAGTGACCGACAGTGTTCTGACGTCACGTTTTAGTACCTCTTCGTACCGGTTAGAACCACAGAGCCAAGGGTACTGAAAATAGTAACAGGTGCTAAGTACCGGTACTAATGGAAAAGCCTCAGAACCGGGCCAAGTAGGGTCCAGTCGGCCCGTACCGGTACGGAAAAGGGGCATTAGTGTATTATCCACAGTAACCATGGAAACAGTGGTGCCAGCTCTCTTCAGGTCATTGACTAGCTCCTCCCATGTTGTTCTGGGCTGATTCCTCACCTTTCTTAGGATCATTGATACGCCACGAGGTGAGATCTTGCATGGAGCCCCAGTCCCAGGGAGATTGACAGTCATGTTTAGCTTCTTCCATTTTCTAATAATTGCTCCAACAGTTGATGTTTTTTCACCAAGCTGCTTGGCATTTGCCCCACAGCTCTTTCCAGCCTTGTGGAGGTCTACAATTTTGTCTCTGGTGTCCTTGGACAGCTCTTTGGTCTTAGCCATGTTAGTAGTTGGAGTCTTACTGATTGTGTGGGGTGGACCGGTGTCTTTATGCAGCTAACGACCTCAAACAGGTGCTTCTAATTTAGAATAATAAGTGGAGTGGAGGTGGACTTTTTAGAGGTGGACTAACAGGTCTTTGAGGGCCAGAATTGTTGCTGATTGGCAGGTGTTCAAATGCTTATTTGCAGCAGTAACACACAAATAAATTGTTAAAAAAATCTTACATTGTGATTTACGTATTTTTTTTTATTTTTTTTTAGATTATGTCTCTCACAGTGAACATGCACCTAAGAGGAAAATTTCAGACCCCTCCATAATTTCTAAGTGGGAGAACTTGCAAAGTTGCAGGGTGTTCAAATACTTATTTTCCTCACTGTAGCTTGCAATTAATAGTAGAAGTGACTCCAAAAACATAACTGACTCCATCATAACATGACTCCAAAAAAACCCGTAAAAAAACAAGTGGCCTTCTGAAGCTGAAGACGTTTTGTTTCCCATCCAGGAGGTTTTATCTATTCTAAAATGTCTGAGTGTGTGGAGTTCCTAACTTTATAAAACCGTATGAGGCTGCAGGTTAGACTGGAACTACTTTCCCTCACAGTGGAGGCTCGTCAGGCTCTTTGTCTGGTTCACAGAGATATTTTGGTCACCTGCATGAAGGTGTTAGTTGAAGTGGAGCTGACCTGGAATCAGGCCTAAAGTTGCATTTTAAGTTTGTGAAGGTTGAAATCTGAGACCTCCTCCTCTGTTTAAATGTGTTTTTTCTCATTTGACATAAATGGCTTCCTTCAACCCACCACCACCACCACCACCACACACACACACAAACCATCTTTCTTCTTTGTCGTTGAACATATGAACATTTTGGTCCTTAAAATATTGTTCCATACCCTTGAGGTGTAGATGGACTGCTGAGTCTGGTCCTGAAGAGCTGCTCTCCTGTGCTGAGTGTCTGTAAATAGGTTGTTTAGTTTCTCCAATACAGAGCTTTGAACTTTGCTCTGAACTATCTTCACTACACTGAACTTTGGGAGTTGTTTCCTTGAGACAGACCAGCCCCTGTATGAGGGGGAATCACACACTCCAGACATTTTTGAATTGAGGCTGAACAATTAATTGCATGTGCAATAATATTAAGATGTGATAAAACAAGATTTTCTAATCACAAAGGCTGAAATTTGACTGGTCACATGATCTGGTTACGTCACTTGCGAGTGAGCGGAGCACAGCAGAGCAGGGAGCAGGAGAAGTCAACACTGCGCTTTAACCAGTTGCACAATGACGTCAGGCTCAACAGAAGCTGACACATCTGAAAGTCTGGTACCAAAGAGGGGCAGCACATCAGTTGTTTGGAATTATTTTGTCTATAAAAAAGAATACGCTGCGCAACGACATGTATTGTGCAGAACCTGCCTTGCTGCTGTTGCTACCTCTCAAGGTAACACCAGGAAACTTATCAACACTTAAAAAACACCACAAAGCCATTTACAATATTTGCATGACTAGAATGCCAACGACCAGTGCTTCAACTTCAAGTAAGCAAAGTACCAGCCGACAGGGATCACTGACCAAACTGTTCGAAGATTACTCCGTATGAACATAATATGAAACGGCACGCGGAAATAACTCGAGCAATAATGGAGTTCATAGTGAAAGACATGATGCCCATTAATATAGTGACCAAGCCTGGGTTTACAGCTTTGGTAAACAAAATAGATAAGCGGTACAGAATGCCTTCCTGCACACATTTTAGCCAAGTTGCTATCCCGGAGCTACACAAAAAAATGTAGAAATAGAGTTGCAGCAGAGCTGAAAACAGTGCAGTTTTTTGGCAACAAAACAACAAAAAAAGATTGATTTATTGCTTATGTTTGTTGAAAAATACATGAGAAGAAGACATTGAAAAATAATCGCATATTAAATCATAATCGCAATATTGAGTTAAAAAAATCACTATTAGAATATTTTCAAAAATAGTTCAGCCCTATTTTGAATTAATAAAGCCTCCCAGATTTGAACGAACCATCTTCAGATTAGAAGGCCAGTTGTTTTTGTTTTGTGACCTTTATTTTAATTGATCATGACCTGGATGACTGAGAACCTTCACCATCATAACAAGACTGTTTTTAGTCATGCCTTTGAACCGTTTGATTTCTGTGTGAATGTCCAGTGGGGAACCGTTGCTATTGATGTTAGCTTTTCCACTGTGTTTTTAATATTAAGTTATCATCTATGCTTAATTTTTTTTTACGTGTTATTTTGCACTAATAGGAATATGTTTATTATCATATAAAATAAGCCATAGTCATTTAAGTTTCGATATTATTTAAACACATCAATAATTGTTTAGTAGTCTCATCACAGCCCTCTGAATTCCCCGTACTGATCATCTGTCTGAGGATTGTTAGTCTCACTGTGAATAGATTTTAAGGACCTACATGTTTGCTTTCACACCTCTAGAAGAACACTGATTGTGCAACGCTCAGCCAGTGAACAATGTGGCCACGTTTTTTCCACGTGACAATTACCACCAACAGCAATTAAGAACTCTGTAGATGGAGCTAAGTGTAGTGGGTCTTTAGTTTATTTTATATTGTGGTACAAGCACTTAGAACATTCAGCCTACTCCTGCACATGTTCAAAGAATAGCACGTGCACTTCTACTTCTTCAATTCCAATGCAAGTGTACTGCTGGTGGTGCTAGAAGAATGTCACTAGGCTAATCAATGTGCGTTTATGTATGCGCCGATCACACCCCTTTAAATCATTAATTCCCATTTGAGCTAAGAAAGCACTCTGGAAGAGAGATAAAAAGAACTGATAAATGGACATATAAAAGGCCACACTACCACTGGTGTGAAAACGACAAAAAAGACAATACCTCAAATGGCTGTAAGGACTCTGAACTGGTCTCCTGAGGTCCAACAGCACCTAATGTTGTCTAGTTGAGGTGGTGCCAAGGTAGCTAAACAAGCTGTGGATTTAGTGGGAGCTAACAGTCAATGGTGATGTGTTTATGTCTCATTGTAGGTGGTCTGCTCTTATTTCACACCTATCATTGACCACCCTAGAGGTGTCTATGTCAGGGAAGACCATTTATCCTGCCGGAGAGAAAGATGTTTGTTAGGCTTAATGCAAAACACTGTGGAGCTGATGGGACCGTTAGGCGCCGTCTAAACAATGAGAACAAGCGTCTTCGTCTTCAAGGTGGCTGGGTGGGGGGAGAGAGAAATGTCTTCCTAATGTCAAGGGTACATCTGCAGCTATATTAGTCCAAATGTTTACACAGTCTCAGTGGGAGCCATGGAAGAGAGTGGGCTAGAGTTCATGTGTTCCTCTCTGCACTAACCGTTCACTTCTGTGAATTTCACTGAAGGGGTGGCGGTGAACTGTGTAGCCAAGAAGAGGAAGAGAGGTTTGTGTGTGTGCATGTGGGCGGGTGTGTGTCAGATGTGCAGTGTCAGAGCATAAGTGGTGGGAGGGTTTTGTGCTGGCTTCTCTATCCGTCCATTTGTCTACATCCAAGGCCATTTCCCAAAGAGGGAGGCCAACGTCTCCTAGTTCCTCTGCTGCCTGACGCTGTATCAGCTGACCTGGGCCCTCCCCTCGTGGGTTAGAGAGGAGCAGGAGGGGGCTTGCTCCAGGGCTGTGGAGAACAGGAAAGGAGGAGAGAGAGAGGAAAAGAAAGAAAGGGGGGGGGGGGGGGTAAGGAGGGTGAAAGGAGGCGAGTGAGTGTGTGAGTGAGCAGGTCTCGTCAGTGCTGAATGTAATCAGATTATTAGATTAGTGGCCATGAGAAGAAGACGGCTGAAGAAAAGACCACCTTTCTCTCTCTTTCTCACTTTATCTCTCTCCTCTTTCATTTTTTTTGTTATTTTCCCCTTTTTTGCTGTCTGCTGATGGGGCTGTGTCTCCTCTTTTTGTGGTTTAGCTGGTGAAACCGGGGAAACTTCTCGCTGGACCGAGGAAGAGATGGAGGTTGCCAAAAAAGGTAGGACTTAGTTCATTTCTCTCTCTATGCTGCACAAGCTTCTCTGCTTTTTTATGATTAATCCACTTCTCACTTATTTGACCCTTTTCAAGTATTGCTTTATTATGTCATTTTCTTATATACACTCTGGAATGACTGTGCACGTAAATGAACACAAATCAAAAAGTAGTGCAGTTTTTTTCCCCTAAGACATTAGAAATGTAATGAAACCCCTGTTCTCAGAAATGAGAAGGCAGTTCAAAGAACAAGAAATTGTGACACAGTTTTGTTCACTTTCACGCACATCTGTAGAGATATACAACTACTTTTGTCTTGTAAAGTACTTAAATATTTATTATCTGCTGTTCTTGTTCTGTTACAGCACCCCTAATAAAATATGTACCCTCTTCCAGTTTTCACTTTGTCCTAACGGTACAAAGCTTAGAAGCTTAGCTACAAAATTCCAGTAGCAAATAAAGCGATTAATTAAGACTTTCTTAAGTTGATCATTTATTTTCCCTTTAAAAAATACTTGTTGACATTGTCTCCTCAAGCCTTCAGACCCATATGCTGCATGCTGCATATATGTGTAGATTAGTGGAGCTACAAGAGCTCAGTCATGTGACAGACATGCTTCAGAAACCACTTTTCTGTGGCCACACATGCAGCTCTGTGTTCACTTTCCCCTCGTAGCTGTAACTCGATTTGCAGATTCGTTTTCATACAAGCCTAATATATAGAAGTCATGGTTTAGCCTCAGCCGAGGGAAATCATACCCTTCACAATTATATATCTACTTCATCAATTTTTTTTTTTCCTGTGTAAATCCTCACATTTATCTAATTTTCTTTACAACCAGCCAGAGTTTTACTGGTACTCGAAACCACTAGAAATGTAACAAATGTACATTTTTAGTTTTTGCAAGCTGATGTGTTAAAACAATCTTTATGTTTTGCTCTCAGATTTCATTTTATATATATTAATCTTAAGATTGCAGTATAGTGCTTTTTTTTTTTTTTTTGTTTAGCTTCATGAAATCAAATTTATCATTTTACATCAGTGTTCTACGGAGTTATTATTTTTAACTTTATTTCTAACAAATAAATGAGCGATATAATAAACAAAACACAGGGTTTATAACGATGCTCACGCTTACACAGCAGTAATATGTGCAGATAAATAAAGCAGATCATTGTTATCAGAATCAGAAGTATGCATGGTGTTAGCTAGCATTACTTCCAGTGGAGTTGCTGCATCATGTAGTTTATTATAGCAGTGTGCTAACCAGACATTACTGTATTAGCAGAGGCCTGACAGGTCCCCTATGTTCCTCAAACTCTGAATGAATGCATTTGTAATTTGCTCCGTTCGATGAGACTTTTTGGATCCACATGTTCTATGTGGGATGATCTGATTTCAGCCATCTGAAGGTCACACATCTCAGTGCTGCTGTAAGTAGTATGTTTAAAACATAAATCTTAGTCCTGCAGGTCTAAGTAATGCCATTGTGGGCTGTTGACGACCTGCTGAAATACATCCTTGAGGGTGTCTAATACTTCTTTCCAGAAATAGTTTAAATGGGACATAACCAAAGTACAATTGGCAGTATTTGCCCAACAACTCCTCCAGTATGAGCTGAGAAGCTTTGGGACATTCTGGTTACCATTTCTGGTATAAAAAAAAACAAATGATCATTTTCCTTCTAATTTTACTTCATGTGTTTGAGTTTGTGACCAGGCCTGCTTCAGCACTTATCTCCTCCCAGACAGTTTGTGGTTTAGTCCCAGTTATCTCTACCTCCCACCTCTGTTTAATGTTGAGGAAAGTATCCTGGTTCGTGAATAAATATGACATGTAATCTTGCTTATTACTAGGAATGCACTGATTCACTTTTGTTTTTTTTACTTCCGATTCGATCCCTATACCTAAATCTAAATATCGTCCGATACCGATCCAGTTCCGATATCATGATCATTATTGATTTTATATGAGGCTGTAATAATCTCCTCTCAAGTACAATTTGTACAAATCTATGCATGCATGTCCAAAAAGGCAACTTGAGGTAAGTTTTATTAATGTTCGATAAGTTTTAAAGTTAGAATTAAATTCTGCTAACACAAAACATGTTTTAGTCCTAGCTTTAAAGTGGATATTAAAGTGATTAAGTGATTGTTTAAAGTTTTATATATATATATATATATATATATATATATATATATA